ATGTATGGAATTTTACTATCACTTTTATAAAAACAGTATTTTTCTGAAGGCAGGTTATAAACCTTTCATCACACTCGTTTCAGTATTGAACCAGATAATCTGATCAGTAACTTCATTATTAGAGGGAAGTGTGTGACAGAAATGGATATGAATGCAAGTTTGTCAAGTTAACCTGGACCTGGTCACCAGAAATCTTTCAGTCTAAGAGACTAAACCAGGCAAAGCCTCTCAAGCATGACTGATCATTAATAGGAAAAGATCTCTACATTATCCACAGCATGTTAATACACAGGTGGCAGAAGCACCGGTCACCCACAGCCCCTGAGGCAGAGGATGGAAGGCAGAGGTGGAAAGCATGAAAAAAAAATCTCATCCCAGTGGGGACAATTTTACTCTCAGCCACAGCAGGTGGGGCGAAGCTGAATGTTAATTTTCATACAGAGGGTTTCTTGCTGGCAGACATGAACCAGAGCGGTCTGTTAATATGAAACATTGCTATGACAACAGAGGTTATGGACATTTAGGAACAATTTGCACATGTTGGGTGTGCTGTGGTGTTCTGATAAGGTGAAATGAATAATTAATGAAAAAAGTAAACAAAACAACACAGGTGCAGAGAAACTCCCCCTACTGAGTGAAATGGCCTATTTCAAATTTACCGTTTTAGAAAATGTTCAGTTTCCAAAATAATCCCAAGTCCAGAATGTCAACATACACAGACTGGAAAAATCAGGATTGGAGTAAGACAAAATGTCCTTGTGTCTACTTTAGTGTCTGTCTCTGTCCCAACAGTACGAATGCAAATAAATAATTCAGTTAATGAAGGTAAGTGGACAGCAAGTCATTTTGAGCAGTGCGGATTGATAAGGCCTCAAATGGGTGGTGCTATCTCATACCTGAGATACGGTGCTGCAAAATAATTCCCTAACTGTACTGGCATTTAAACCAAATAACAATGACCGACAGATAATCAGCTTTATATTGACCAATGATGTGGATTTTATTATGTATTATTCTACCAGCCAACGGAAATCGATGAGATTGCATGTGTGCTTGTATCCTGCAGTGTCAGCTTCAACCCCGATCATGTATGTGTATCATGTTTAGTCTGAAAGGGAGCTGAGATCTTTTTGACCACAATATTTATGGGTCAGTCAGGCAAATGTCATGGTGACAAGGAGGAGACTCCTGGAGATAACATTCACCATTCACCGAGCCTTTACCTGATGCAGAGCCTGCTGAAACACAATCTTGATGATTGATTCCCATTAACAGGGATGCTGCAGCTACCATCACCACCAAAGACTTTAAGAATCAATAGTGCCTTTGAAAGTTTTCAAAAACCTACCTAAGCACAAAAATACCTCTTCTCAGGGGAGCTGCTGGTAGAAAACTGTGGATGATGTTACACAAACACATCAGAGCTAGTTTGATTGAAAATGAGTGGATCAAGCCATGTTAAGAGATGCTTCCTATGTTGAGTTATTGTACATGCAGTGTGGTCAGCAGCACCAAGGCGAGCAGTGATTGTGACTGGGGAGAAGCAGTGGGGGTTTGGGTTAGGGCTAGGGATAATCCATGTGCAAATGCAGGGAACGTCCTGTGAGGTGCTGAACTGACATAGCAGCAGCGGCAGATGGCCGTTGTTTGGAGCTGTGGCGTAACAGGGCTCAGGTGTGTGCCCCAAAGCAGACACTTCCTACCGACTCTGAATACCCATGGGGGAAGAAGCAGTGGGGGGGGTCATGGCCATGTCAGAAAACAGCAAGTTTCCATGTTAAACACAGTGTGCACAGGCATGGATTTGCTACTTTTCTTTTTAGAATTTCATTTGTAATATCAACCTGTGAGGGTGAATTTGTGTGGTCTTTGTTGTTTTGGGTGCAAGTTACATGGTGATCAGTTCAACAGAGCAGATAATTGAAAAGCAGGGAGCCAAATGTTTTATGTTTCATGCAGCTGGATTAATTTGATTGACCTTCCTGTCTGCTGCACACATCATGGCTCAACTCTCAACGAATCAGCCATGTCCTCTTGAAATCAAAGAAAAACTTGTAATGATGCAAATTTCCAATGAAAAAAATATTATTTAATGTCTGAAGACCACTTCAGAGTTAAAAGATTTCAAAGCCTTGAGGACTAAAATGTTACACCTAAAGCCTACATTTCTATTATGAAGAAGTGCTCTGCAAAGACACATTAAGCCCTTCAAAACAACCAAACCTAAGCTTTTATTGTCTGTTCTATGCTTTCTTTTGGTGAACCCAGATTTCCCAAATAATCTTGTCAAATTTTTTTTGTAGCTGTTTTGTCTTTCATGGCCTTCAGTTCTGTTTTGTAGGAACTCAAGAGCTGCTGTTTTGTCAGTGCAATCTATAAATGTTATGCAATGTCTGGAAATACATTCATGAAAATAATACATTTGTGGGTGGACTGCGAAAAAGGTTCAAGCATGAATGCTGTGTGGAAACAATATGTTACGTAATGTAACATACATTGCTGTCGAATGATTGAAAAGCTACACTATGAATCAGTTCTTGACACTAATGTCACTCACATTAAACTAATGTGAGTGACATTAGTGTTGGCTTATGTATGTGTAGGTGTGTATGTGCATATATACAGTGTACATGTAGATGTATATATGTGTGTGTGTGTGTGTGTGTGTGTGTGTTTGATAAAGGTAAAAGAGCAGAGAGTCACAGGTTTTCAGCCGTCTGAAGATTACACTGTGATGTGGTGCTGCTGGAAAATCCGCCCTTTTGAGTACCTGTTGTTTTGCTCTGAAATATTTTCCATGTGTCCTTGGCATTTTTATTTCTGAGGTGAGACAAAGCCATAGCCAGGAAGTGTTTATTTAGGCATGAATTACTTTCTCTTCTGAGCACAAATTGTCACCTTTTATGCTCACATGTGCAATGGAGCCCATACATCTCTGTTTAGATTATGAAATTACTGTTGAAACTAGATCCAGTAAAGTGTTTCTGAGCAGGGGGCAATGTTGAACACAACCGGCTGATCTGACAGTATGCAGATCAGTGTTATCTATGCATTATGACACAATAACAGTGAATACATTATACTGAATTTCCATAGATCTTGCACTGTCACTCAGGTCAGTCTTTTTCCTTTCTTTTCTTTTGGTTCAGCAGTTTAGCAGTCAGTTGGTAGCAGTAAAAATCAGATGTAAGCTGATAAAAATATCCAGAACCTGAAGGGATGTGTCAGTCTAAATCTATAGGAGAAAAGCCTTCTGGTGAGCCTGCAGAGAATGTAATAGCACATACAGACCCTAGGGGAGTATGACAGAGTAGGGACATGCATTTCCTTGGGATTTTAGTGCACGTTATTGCTGTCTGATTCAGGCCCTTATTAAAAGCTTCCGCAATGCATTCACGTTAGTCTCATTCCTTGTTTTCCAGGCTCGGTTTTGAATGAAAGCCCCCGATAATCGAGTGAAAGAAGCCCACCTTTACATCAGCAGCTGGGCTCCACTCCCCAATCTCTTCAAGCCGAGCACACTCCCTCCTCAGCAGTCTAGCCAATGAGTTTCGGCGGAGAGAGAAAAAAAAGAAAGAAAAAGAAAAGCAAAGCAGTGTGTTAATGGGAGCGGATTAAACAAGTGTGTTAAAGAACAACGACAGGTAGGAAGTGAGTTTCTCGTTTTTTAACTTGACTAGCCAGCAAGAGTTGAATGTTTCTGATGGGGAAATTGCTTGTATGTTTTTGTTCGGCTGCAGAGTGCTCTTAACTGGAAGTGAATGACAAACGATGTTATCAAAGTAGACTATTCATTTTCATTCACGACGCTTTTCGCCTGTTGTTATTAGGAAAACTAAAGCTAAATGATCACCCTGCCACCCTGAACGTTAGCTGGCGTTGGTTTTTCAACATTACCGATTTGTGCCGGAGTTTATTCATTGTGCTGAACTAACCGTGTAGGAGCGTTTCTTGTGTCGCCCTCATGAAGTTGTTGGATTGAATCGGCAGTCTCCTGCTCGTGTTTCATTACCAGTACATTTTACCCTGAGAAGTTTTGGCCTTATGAGACACACCGGGTCGTGTTTTTTACAGCTCACAACACTCCTTGTATTTCGAGCTTCCTTGAGTTAAGTTTAACATCAATGCTTGTGGGGTAACATCTGGTTTCCAGACTCCACAGCTGGAAAACATAACCACGGGCGCTGTCCCCGGTGCTGAAAGCCAAACGTGCACTTGTTCATTTGTCTCATAATGTGACACTTACAATAAAATGATGCTGGTGGAGAAATTCGACCCCCACCCTCCTCTTCAGAGCAGTTAAGCGAGGTCAGAAACCTCCTTGCTCAAGGACACTTCAGCAGGGCGGATGCTTGCCACGTTGGAGTCCTTTTCTTAGTGTCATGTTATCCTCTGGGAAATAAAGACACTCAGCCATGTGGCTTTTGGATTCCTGATTTTATCAGCCACTTTCACTTGTTTGCCCATTGTTGAATAAGAGACTAAAATCCCCCCTCTAAGTCTGTTTGCTGTCTCATATAGGTACGATAAAAACAGTAGAAAATAACTGTATGTTTTTGTATATATTTTTATGGATAGCTTTGTGATTCTTGTGTTTTCATATTGCAAGTAAGAACATGTAAAAAGGAAGCACCATATTTGACCATCTTAAATGAATCTTTCCAGGAATCTGATCTAGACTCCTAAAAGCACAACCCCATCACCTTCATGTCCTGTCTCTCGTTATTACAGAGGTGAGATGATATTCCTCACAAGGGGGTAGGGCTGACAGGCAGTAATAACAGCTCGGGTTTGGTTTGGTCCCCAGGGACTCAACAAGGAATCTCTGTTCATTTTGTGACATCTGCATCAAGTCAAAAGAGCCTGTCTCCTGTAGGCGTGCCACGTCTTCACTGAGCTCCCTCAACCGACCACCACATTTTCCCATCCCTCGGAGCTATACCAACAGCCTCACACCGTACTGCTTCGCTGGTTGGCAGCTCCTCTTGCCCTGAGCCAGGATGAATGACGTTCAGGAGGCCACCTCCCCTGCAACCAGCCTCAGCGGTCCAGCTACCTGTGTCTCCAAAGTAGAGCTGCGTGTGTCTTGCAAAGCCCTGCTGGACCGAGACACGCTGAATAAATCAGACCCCTGTGTCATACTAATGGTACAGACCAACGGACAATGGACAGAGGTGAGCCCCCTTTTCTTTCTTTGGTCTGACAAATACACAGTTGAACCCTTTGGGCAAATGTTTGAGGCTGATATCTTCACATTTCCTAATGTGTAAGGGATTGTGCCTTGACTCACGCAAGAGCAAGACTTCACATTATCAAAATGACAGCACTTTGAGTTGATCTGAGCAACATGTTTTTCTTAATGCTTACACAAAACTGTTGCACACAAAGACACTGCACACTGGGGATAGTTGTGCAGCCCTCCCTGCTTTGTCCAGTATCACAAAATCTGTAAAGGCTGAGATTTTAAGATTAAACAGCGGCGATGTGTGAAATATTATACATTGGGATGATTTTTCCGTCTCACCCCAGTTATCCCAAAACCAAGGGAGATGAATCTGTTAATGGTTTGGTGAACTTGCAGCTGTTTTTCGCTCTTTCGGAAAAGATTATGCCTTACACAACAGCTGCCTCATCCTGAATTAAAACCCATCAAATGCAGTATACATCTACCAACACTGTCTGTCTCCACAGTTCCTTAATTTACATCAGGTTTTGTTGTCTGACATTGTATATTAGTGTGGTTGGTATTATTCAATGTGATGAGTTGAGTTCCAGCTGAAAATGTTTACTTTCTTGGATTGGTCCCAGGCTGATTTGGAGCTTAGGCAGCAGGTCTCTCATTTCCCTATTAATTAAGTCATTTAGTTCATGAGGGAAAGCCAAAACACAGGTCCCCGCTAAGTAGAGGATGTGTTGGCCGAGGATACCTAATTATATCCATTTTTCCTCCTGCAACCCTTCATCTGACAAAAAAGCTCTATATTCAGGGAAATGGCAGATAATAATTAACTGTATTTCTGCCAGATTCCCGCCACAGGGGAGCCATTTGTTGAAGATGCTCACTGTAATGTTTGGACTGTATGAATGTGGAACCTCGAGATACTATTTTGAGGCAGTGACGATAAAAACACTTGGCTGCCAGTATTGAGCACACAGTTATGGATTTTTCTTGGGTGTAATTTGATAGGAGGTTGTTACATGAGATGACTGACCTGGGTTCAATGTAGCATGAATACATGAGTTGTTATTTTTAGCCGCTCTAACTGAGGCAAATTCAGATGATATGAAACTGAGATTATGGCACAGCACAGTATTACAATTGCACTCTCTCTCTCTCTCTCTCTCTCTCTCTCTCTCTCTCTCTCTCTCTCTCTCTATCTATCTATCTATCTATCTATCTATCTGAGTCTTGACAGTCATGACAGTGTACACAAGTTATCCCATCCTCTGCTGTCAAATCCCTCAGTACTGAGAGGCACGATTGATCGAGCAAATTGTTTACTTACGTCAACAACTGAGTAAGAAGCTGAGCCCACTCACATCACCACCATACCGCCCTCTTTCTCTTTTCTGAGCTCATACTGTATGGCCCCATTGACTTGAAAGTGCTCCTTGTTGAACTGCATTCACTTCATTATTACCTTATTTCACCACCAATTCACCTCTGAGGAAAAATGCAGAGGCAGGGTGGAGAAGACTTGACATTGTCTACTATTACAGATTTCTTTCTTTTTTTTTTTGTTTAAAACCGGACTCTCCACGCTCCCATGATAATGAGCTCATTCAAAACACAGTCTTTCTATCCAACCTAAGCTACGGAGGCTTGTTATGATTGAGCTACACAGATAATGCTCCACCTACCTGGCAGAACTGATTAGAGAAAGCTTTAATTTCCCATGTCAGGGATCTCTCTACAATTCTGGCCCCACACCAGTGACAAACAGGCGTCACAGACTTTGGCACAACCTATCCCCCGTAGCTCTGATTAGCTTTCATCAACAAACAGACTTATCAGACTCATCCCGAATCTGCCCATCCAGATGGCACAAAGAGAGGAAGAGAAGGCAAGACAAGACAATAAAGAGAAACGTGAGAATTAGTCAGACTATTTCTAGAACTGTGACGAGACCAAAGTTTTTGTTTAGCAACTAATGTAATATGTTTTCCCATTTACTGATCAACAAATTGAATTGCAAATTGGTAATAAGGAGAACAAGAATAAAACTGATAATGAATCAATATGTCTAACTCTGTTATGTGTAAGGTGCCGAATGCTCAAAAACAAAGATCAAAAAGTTAGGAGCCGGAGAGCGCTCCAGTTAAATTGTTTATTCATGCATCGATATTTCAAACAGATGGCTTACCTCAGTATGCAAACTGGCAACAGTGTGAAACAAGAAGGAGAAGATGAGAAATTCAATAAACATGGATTGTAAAAAATTGCCATTTTAGGTTTTACAATTACAATTACAGATGGGCGATGTACAATAAGGAGAAAAGTAAATAAATAATAGGAGAACTATAGTGTATAGAGGTGCTTACATACAGGTGGGAGACATTTTCCTGGCATGGTTTTGGTCAGCCTGTCCCCACAGAGGGAAAGATCACTGCATTTAAGTTATTCTGAGTCATCACCATTATCCCATGATGAAACATTACTATCCTGGTGCGAGTGGTTTCCTCCAGCATGGTAATGGTCCAATCCACACAGGGTGTGAAAGGTCACTGATGGGTTTGATGAGTATGAAAATGATATCAGTCTTATTTTATGGCTAACACACTCACCAGGGTCGGCTTGTATAAAATGTCTAAGCTAATAAACTTTGACTGTAAAAATTTCTTAGTAAAAAGAAAAAATTTGAGTCTTTTTATAAAGAGGCACAAAGTAACTTTTGGCAAAGTCTAAATGTGTTTCTTCAGTGCTGACTGAAGTGTAAAATAGACACTACAATTACCCGTTATGCACTCAAACACTGCATCAGCCAATAATGGGCCTCTAAAAGTGTTGTGTCATGGTTGTGTCACAGCTTCATGCCATGATTAAGATAACCCATCATTCATTTTGTCCAACATTATGCTTTAATATATTGTAGCATGTCATAGGAAAGCTTATAAGATATTTCTCCTACAAGGACAAAACAGTTTTAAATTACAACCATCTGCCCAGTACAGTGTTTGTATGTTAATTAAATTTGCATTTAATTGTTTTCTGTTTTTCCATTACCGAGAACACAGCCATCAACCTGAAAATGAAACATTCCCTTTAAAGATGTACTCATGAACTTCGACATGTTGTGTAGGAGTGTGGGTAGTGAGACAGGATTTTGTGTTGTTTATCAGCTTATCATCATACATTTCCAAAGTATGTGTTTAGTGCTTAGCTGCTGCTCTTCTGACTCTTAACTGACTCAGAGGACCTCTGCAGCTCTCCTAAGATTTTGGGGTAATATGTTAGACAGCTCTCTCCATCACCATCCTCAAAATACCAAATGAGGGAATGTCTGTCGGCGTTCGTTCCTCTAATAGGGTTCTAGAGACTTGAATAATCTATGATAAAGAGCACTGATGCTGTTGGCTTGTGGTGAAACATTATCTGCTAAGACACTTGATATTTTCTTTTGATATTTTCCGGGTATGCTGTGTGCATCATTCTTCATTTTTAAAATACTCTGGTGTTGCTAAAATCATGAAGAGTTCAGCTTAGTCTTTTATCTGATCAAGATTGGATCTCCACCAAAGCGAGAAATGAGAGACAAGAAAGAATCGTCGCAAGTCGTCATGACACACAGTCTGGACCTGCTTCACTGACAATGAAGAGATGACGTTGGATACTGTTACAGACAAAAACTCTATCCAGCTCTATGGCTTCAATTTGGATGTCTTCACAGTCTCTACTGACGACACATCATCTGATTATGCCAGATTATGCCTATAGTTTTGCTAGATTGAGGTTGAAGTCCCAAATACGCATGAACAATAATATAAATATAGTATCATGAAAATTCAGTCTGTTTACTGTTTATGATGATATGACAATATAAAGCTCTGGATGTATATTTATTGTAGATGTAGATTTGAATATCGCGCTCAATGATGATTTGTCCTTGTGACAAATTGGACATCATAGAGATGTTCATGAAACTGTGTGATAGCTAAACAGCTAAATCCCACACCTTGAGCAAATGGGGCCTCAGAGAGCTCCGAATTTTCTTTGTCAGGCAATCAAAGACAAGCGCGGATGTTTTCTGTACACTGAGATTAAATGTCAGAGCCCTCCCATCTTCTCTCTTGACAGAATGTTATAACATTTGCCTTTCTGTACATTTATATGCTGGTGTTCCTCAAAATATTGTAAGCAGGGAGACAAATATGTTGTGAGTGTTAGTTTTTAATCCTATTCCCTAAACTCTTACCTTATTGTAAAATGATATACGACACAAAACACTCTCCCCTAAGGTCTACTATTGCTTTAATCACACTAAGTGAATTATAATAAGAAATGTTTAAATATATTAGATGAGTACGTGTGAGGGTTTAAAGTCTTATTATTTTTTCTCTATTTCAGCTGGACAGAACAGAGGTGATCAAGAGCAACTTGCACCCGGTCTTTGCCAAGGTTTTCTCTCTGGACTACTACTTTGAGGAGGTTCAGAAGCTGCGATTTGAAGTCTACGACATCCATGGCACTCACAGCATCGGGACCCGTGACGATGACTTCCTTGGTGGGGTGGAGTGCACTCTTGGCCAGGTAGGCAGATGCTATCACATTGTGTTGACTTGTAGTAGTTGTGTTTTCCAGAATACACAGATGCTGACTTAAAATTCTGTTCGTTTTTTTCCCCCTAAAAATTGGGATTTGTCTGCCTTAAAAGCATCTTCCGTAGTCTGCGATGTTGGTAGTAAATAAACCTATATAATACCTATATATATTTGCAACATAGTGTCCTTGTCCACTACTCTTTACTGCTGAGGGCTCAAGGCCAACCTTGTGTTCATCTTGCTCTTTGCAGATCGTGGCCCAAAAGAAGATGGTGAAGCCTTTGTTGCTGAAGTACGGGAAATATGCTGGCAAATCCACCATCACGGTAGGTTTCTTACCTTGTGCTTATGACCTTACTGCTCTGTGGACTGAAGTTGTCTGGATTGCTGGACATTTACAAAGTGGAAGTTATTAGCTAAAGAGCTGAGTGAAACACATTTTTGGCCATAACTCACAAATTCATACACTAATTAAGACACAATTTAACACAAATGTCTAATAGAATAAAATGATGACATTTTATATCCAGAAGGTCAAAGGTCAACTTCACTGTGACATCATAATGTTATGAAAGAACACAACTCAGGACTGGTTGGCGGAGGCATACAACCACAAGGCAACTGAAGACACCACTTACAGAATGGCTTCATGTTGCTGCTTTACATTGGTGGGTGGTGATAGTTGTTAAAAGTAGACATCACCCCTCTCTGAGAACTTTCTATGTGCTTTATATGTCCATTTTTTGGTGGCATGGGGTGCCAAACATTGCAATCCACGCAGAGAAGCAAGCAAATCCACATAGAAGAAATGATGCATAAATAAGACATCACTTGTGTCCGATGTGGAAGAGGAGAGCTGTTGGTTCATTAAGCACCATCTTACAGTTAACAAGCCAGTGGTGATAGCTTATAATAAACAAGATGAGCAAGATCATGCAGTGCTACACTCTGGTTTGTAGAGTAGCCGCTCTGCCTTGTTTGGAAATACACAAGAGAGTCTCCTCTTCTTCTAATTAATTTTTATTGCAGACTAGATGCTACAAAGCCTACTTTTGTTCATTTAATTATAAATGTACAGGAGGTAGACTTAATAATCAATTCACAATGTCATGCAACCAATACACATTGCTCTTCAACAAATAAAAACCTATACAGTATTTTGTGAAATGTAGCACTGTTATCAATAGTATTGAATTGGATTGCTGTACACTGTAAGGATGTTCCTGGTTTTGATTTTTGAACTCAGTGCCATTTCTCTCACTTTTGCAGGAAACTTTTCTCTCATCTATTCTCCTCACTCATTGCATACATAAAGGACCTGGTCTGAGATTTGAACCCAGGATCCCTGTGAGGGAAAAATTAAAGACAAACTCATCCATTTTAAATCTTTGTCATATCACCTCTAGCCAGAGTTAGACTTTATTTAAACCAGAGCCAGCAGCAAAGACCTTTTGAAGGTCTTCTGGATGGATGGATGGATCTTTTTTTTACCATTTCATCTATACGAGTATATAGAATTCAGGGCACCATCATAATATGAAATCCTTATCTAACGTGTTGTTGCTGCGCACACATGATGGTACCAAAATAATTCTTCAAGTTTTCAATTGCATTTGCAATATTGTACAAACTGATTCAGTTTTGCTTGTTATGTCTTAAAAGAAGGTTTGTGTATATTTTTAATATATGCATAAATACAACCATTAATATATGTGGTAGAGACACAGAGCACATACACACGTATTTGTACTTCTATACAGTATTGTGAGGACTCCTATTGACATAATACATTTGATCATTAATCATTACACATCACAACACCTACATGCCCAATCCTAACCCACACCCTAAAGGTTCATGCTACATTCAACCCTAAAACTAAATATTGTCCTTTAAACAGCCCTTTGCAAAAACCATGAATTGGGAAAAATATGCTCACTCTCAAGGTTTGAACTTCAAATGGGTCCTGACAAGGATAGAAATACATGATCAAACACAGTTACACACACACACACACACACACACACACACACACACACACACACACACACACACCTTCTGCCCACACCTTTTATAAAGATTTCCCCTTGCACTTGGTGTGTGTCAGGACAAGCTGTCTGATAAAAAGCACAAGTTACCTATTTTGCAGATCATCGCTGTCTGGTCTTATCAAAACCCGGCCGTGCCCACAGTACAGCCACAGTCCTGGCAGTTTGATGTAAAGTTTCTGTGAGTTTCAAATAAAGGAGCAGAGAAAAAGCAGACCTCTGTTTTCTGGGAGTGAGCCAGACAGTTTAGAGACAGCAGCAGAGGGTGCACGGTGATTCTTAAAAATGGCAGTTCTGAACTTTTTCAACTAACACATAAGACCAAACAAGCAAAACAGCAGCCATTCAGAGAGCAAGCTGTTACACAACTGTACTGTTGCATTGTGCTGTACGTGGTAACTTTTATAGCCATAAAAAGTTCAATGTACAAGTTGAAGAAATAACCTATGACAGTGGGGGACTCTAGTTTGCAGCTAATGGTGCTCTCTACTCTCTGGCTTATATGCCCAGCAATCAAGTAAAAGCCACTTCAAAAGATACAGTTAGGTACAGATACAGTTAACTGCTTATTATAGTGCAAATGTAGTTACTTTTTGAAATACATAGGAAAAATGCTGTATGAATACTCATATAAAAACCATGCAATTTAAGACAAGAAAGCCTGTATTAAATCTCAGTTTTGAGTTAGAATACATTCTATGCAAATGTTTGTATTAAATTTGTTGTTTTAAATACTGGCAGATAACGTCCACCTTAATTTTCTAAAGGCTTTATCTGCAACCAAATATCAGTTGTCAAGAAAATATATTTCAATTTCAGTCACAACTCTAGTTTTTATTAGCTTTAGGGATTTTTTCCTGAAATGTGGGTCATTTCTTGACAATGAATAATACAGCCCATATATACAAAAAAAATTACTGACAAATCTTATTTCCTTTCAGGTGCATGCTGAGGAAATTTCTGGCAACAACGGATATGTGGAGTTCTCCTTCTGTGCCAAGAAGCTCGATGATAAGGTGAAAGGAGCAACCGTTTTTTGATGGAAATACCAGCACAGTTCGTGTTTTATTAGATGTGGTTTAGTAGCTCTAGACAGGGATAGTAGCAGTAGTAATATGACAGTGATGATACTGTAGTGCAGCCTCAGGAAGCACCCACAGTTCCTCACTGGCCTCGAAGTTATGCACATGTAAAGGATAATTTTTCAATTTCAGCAGAAATCATCACACAATTTCATGTTACAAGAGGAGAAATTGTTAACATGTAAAGCCGCAATGATCATTTGTGAACATGCTAGGCTCAAATGTAAATTACATGACAGAATATAATATCACGTGAAATCTGTGCTTTTAGTTTGAATTTATATGGTTCCACTTTAAGGCTGCATACCACTGACCTTAGCTACTCCTGCTCCCACACTGTCAAATTTTGCTGACGGCATATTTCAATCAAAAACACAGCAGGGGCTTTCATCCAATTACAACTCTGATGACATGAAGTCGCACCATGTTCTTAGGACTGAGCCTTAGGATGCAAGACTCATAGGTTGCCCTTGATTCTCAGTGGTATTGGGAGGAAAATTCAAATTTTCTATAGCATGTACATTCATTTGAAATTACAGTTTGCAAATCGTAGCTACTCTGATGGTAAAAGTGAACCTAAAAAAATCTTTACTAGAGTATATCCTTCCTCTGCATGTGATGTTTGCTATCGGTATGCAGTGTTTTCCTGGAAGTATTACATTTCTGATGAAATGCTGGGGAATCTGCACACTTGTTTTTTTTTAAATCGAACTGATTAATTTGCACGCATTCAAATAAGTCACTGTTACAGTTTGGATTTTATAGCTGTGGCAGCATCATAGTGGCACAATGGTGTGTAATCATGTGGCACTAACACTACAGCAGCTTGTTTGGTACACTGATTACTTGGAATAAAAACCTACACATTTTGGTTCGTGGTGCCAAGTAGCTAAAAACACTGATGATGAAAATGATTGAAACTGGCTTTGTTCACATGCACGGACAGTTTCATTCTGGTTAGAAAAATAGCCCACCTTCAGGAGGATTGATTGCAAACATTTTCATCCAGAAGTGAAAGATTAGAGTCTGGTTATGAGACGTGGAAACATTTGGGATTTGCTATCACGATTACTTTTCTTGTATCAGAAGCAAGTGCTCTGTCAGATTGGGATGGGATATGAAATTTACTTGTTAAAGCAACAATAGTTGTTTTTTTTCTGTCCACTTGAGGGCAGCGAAAGAAGTTCTAAATATTAGATTGACATATCATCATCTTAAAAAGTTGTAAAGGCCAAAGTGTTGGCTATAGTTTTAGTCAGTAATGTATTACTTTCTAAAATTATACATTAATGTAATTACTATTCTCATTAATGTGTAGTTCAGGGCATTACCATTTGAAATTCAGCATGTTACTAACCCCAGTAATCCTCCCTTACTTTGGCAATTTGTTAGTTGACTTGTTTCCTGTCTTACCGGTAGATTGATATTCAGTTTGTTCTCTCTGTGTTCAGCGGGCAGACTGGTGTGGTCAGTAAGTGCTAGCTTGATGCAGGGGCTCAGGGTGTTGAGAGGCATTTAGCTGCCACAAAAAGAGGAGGAATGCTACTCTCTGTAATTCCAAAGCTATCTTATATACAGTTTGTCTTATTAGCTGTCTTGCCAACATCACTGTTGAGGCTACATTCACGAATCAGCTGCTTGTTTTAGAGAGTTGGAGTATGTGTGAACCCCGCAGCCCCACTGTGGGGGCGGGACTTTATGCAGTCACTGGGGCTAAAATCAAACTTAGCTGTGATAGTCAAAAAAAACCTCTAAACTGTAGACATGTTCAAACTAAACAACTTGTTTGAAATATGGGAAACGCACAAGATGTAACGTCTATATGGAGGTTTTGAAACTGTTTAAAAAGCATCACTGGAGCTGGCAAGTATAGTGAAAGTGAAGTTATATTACTAATTACCTTTGCTGTTTAGTAATTAGTAGTTTAGTGTGAGTAACATTTTCCAAATAACTTGCCCAAAGCTGTTTAGCAAACAGTAGCCTATTTACACCTCCAACAGACAGAGAGTCCTGTCTCTGACGGACTTGAATATAAGTCCAATATTCTCTCTCCTTTTAGCTCTGTTTTGGCCTCCACCGGCTCCAACATTTAGCCACTATGTTCACCTGCTAGCTCTGTTTGACTTTTGTTGAACCAAAACAGTAAACCTTTGTCCATAAAACCAAAACCACCAGCTAACAAACGCTAAAACAGCCCATCCATGCTTGATTGATTGATCCATTGTTAATATAAAAAATATTGAATAGTGCAGCTTCAAGTGGTTAATTCATGTATGTAAGGCAAATGGTTGATGTCATCAGGTGAGACAATTAACTTTTGTGCTCCTGTCATACTACGCACCTGTTTGATATTATGATCGTAAACTTAAATAACCCCTAAAACAAGGAAATCATATTTCTGTGATCAGGTGTTTTATCAGGTAGTATACATTTTCTTAAGAATACAAATTGGCTGGGACGGATGACTTGGGTGTGGCAATTTATGTAACACAGACAACAGATAATGACTGACGCAGGAATGATTTCTGCTTGACAGCTGTATAATCTGAACCTGCTGTAAATATTGATCACAGCAGAGACATTGGCGAATGGGAGGATTAATGATGAGATATTAGTATTGCTGTTATTGTTAGCGTGGGATTAAATTTTGACATGTGCATCTGATCAGTCTGATCATGCTGCTGATGCCACTGGCTTGCGGTTGCCATGACAACAAAGAGAGGATGCTACAGCTCTTTTTTGCTCCCGTCCCTCAGGAGATGTATCTGGCTAATGTGGCGGGAAATGCAGCATTTACTGTCTGATTCTGTGTTTACAAAACCCTCTCACCCACCCTCCAAACCCCCCCCCCCCCCCCCCCCCCCCCCCCCGACACGAAATGCACACACACACACACACACACAGTAATCATTTGTTTTCCTCCCTGAAGAATCAATTGACCTAAATAATCAGTGTTGCTCTGCTCTTAGACGCCTGGACTTGAGACTCAGGGGATGATTTAAGGCGACCCCAAATAGCCGTAAAGGATGCGAAATCTTAAGCTTGTTTTCAATTTAGCAGGCTATATACTAACACTGGTGATTTAGAAGCTTGTAAAATATTCTCAAATCTTCCTCTAAACAAAAAAGTTTCAAACACCCTATTTTTTTTTTTCTCAGTCTTACTTCACAACATTGATGTTGTCTCCTCCAAAAGAGCCACCATGCTGTGCTGTAAATTTTATGCCTGCTTCTTCCTGACCTTTAATCACAGACACAAATACATCTGCCTCTGCAATGAAGCAATGGTAAATCAGTGTCGACAGCCATTTGTGGTAATTTCAGTTTCCTCCTCATCTGAACAACTCCTATACACATACTGAAATAACCCAAACATCAACCTTTTAGTGTTGATGCTGTTCTGTAATTTCGCCTGTGTGGTGTCCATCATAGGCCCATGGTAAATATTGGCAAACATCGTCACTACCTTTAAGAGAAGTAATGGAAATCAACCCCAAAGTGTTAAATGTGATGTTGTATGTATAATTTGTTCCCATTTGTCTCTTATTAAATACATTTTGTTCTCAATGAGACTTCCTGAATAAATAAAGCTAAAAACGAAAACTACAAAAATGACTTCCTTTCATACTTTTGCTTATTTGATTCATAGATGTTCTAGAAATCTGACCTAATGTTACCTGAAGAAATCCTTAATGATAGTTAATAATTATTATAAAACTTAATAAAGATGTTTTAGGGTCTGGTACTAACATTACACTTCTGTTTCTGCAGGATCTCTTCAGCAAATCAGACCCATTTTTGGAAATATACCGAATCAATGATGATGAAACTGAACAGCTTGTGCACAGAACTGAGGTAAAGTCACCATATTCCCTCTTCAGTTTCATCAACAGCTGTTAATGCATTTTTACCACTTTTCTTCATATACAGTATGTTCCTACTCTAACAGGTGATTAAAAACAACCTGAACCCTGTGTGGGAGCCCTTCAAAGTGTCTCTCATATCCCTGTGCAGCTGTGATGAAGACCGGAAGCTCAAGGTAAGGGGCCTTTAGGAACTGTAAGTCCACACCAATAAAAATCACAGCAGTCAGTGACTCAGAATCTGCATAGCAAGTTCCTTTCAGCGGCGGGAATCAGAAAGCAGAGTCACACCGACAGAGACAAAGTAGTAAACAGTGTTGTCTGTGTGTGCCACAGTGCCTAGTGTGGGATTATGACTCCAGGGGGAAGCACGACTTCATTGGCGAGTTCTACGCCACTTTCAGGGAAATGCAGAAAATTTCCAGTGGAAATAAGGTCAGTGAACGGAGAGGCGGAGAAGAGTGGAGGAGAGACAGCCGTGTAACTGTTTCATCCACTTCCAATATGCCTCTCATTTTACTCTGCTGAAATCCATCATAGATGAGACAAATGTCATGGTGCTTAGGATATATTGCCAGTGTTCAAAATATGTTTTCACTCCTGTTCTTTGTCCTCAACTCGCTTTGTTTAAGGTGACGTGGGATTGTGTGAATCCCAAGTACAAACAGAAGAAGAGAAATTATAAAAATTCAGGAGTTGTCATCCTCAGTGACCTTAAGGTAAGAAACTGCAGTAGAAATAGATCATATTTATCAGAATAGTCAACACTGGAGGGAGCTGCACTAATCAGTATTTTATTCTTTTATTTTACATCATGACATAGAAATAAAAATCCTTTACTATACAAACAAAAATGAACCCAGGAGATTTTTATTATGTAAATCAGCTCTTTAGGATTGAAGGAACAATATGAACTAATTTTAGTAATAAATGCTTGTTTGCATGTATATACTGTGCATAGAAACACTCTCATTGTACATCTAAATAACCCTATACACCTAGGACATTTTTTAGTTTCCACTGCTTTGATAAGGTATATCACAAAATGTCTCTTTTTAGCCTTCACAGTCAACAGCTTTGTTGAGTTAATTCCACTTTAATGACCAGATGCTACAGTACAAACACTGTAGCTGAGCATTCGCTCGCCCGCCCAAACACCCCTTCTGAGATTTTGTATGTAAGAAATACTCTTTTTTTTGTTGCAGCTCCACAGAGTGTACTCCTTCCTAGATTACATCATGGGAGGATGCCAGATTCACTTTACGGTAAACTGAGCAGTCTGTGTTTTGATGAAGCTTCACTGTCATTGAGCTTTTAACTGCACTGGCCATATGTGTATGAATTACCTATTGCTCTCAAATTCTCTGCATCTTCTTTGTTTGTGTAAGATGTAGGTTTGTAGGTAAACAGGCTTTGGTATGGCTTTGCTGGTCCAAAATCCAGAAAATCATTTTCAACACAGTTTTAAAGGATCTTTTTACCCCTGAAACAACCCTAATGGTGTTTTTGTCTATGTACGGAGATGGTTTTCTTAGTGAAGGCAGCCTCATGGGATACATTCTAACCTTCTTCAACTCTTGCCCCTTGGTCTGCCCTCTGTAGTTCTACCTCTCACTCTCTGGCTGGATCACTGAAGCAATGAATATAAATCATGAGCACTGCTGTGATAGATGCAGTTCCTCCTTGTTTAAATAGCTGGCTGCTTGGATCTATGGTGTATGGAAACTGTAGCTGCTTCCTTGTATGTGGGTGTAAAAAGTGCAAGTTCTTACCTCTGATCAGATAATTTATACTGCCATTAGGCAATTTCAGGCTCGCTCACACAGAATGACTTGTAATATCATAAGCAGCCAAGTGATAAACTTTTTAAAAATGTGTGGCAAAAGAAAAACTTAACTGATCCTGTCATATTGTTCATTTTGTACACTGTCTACCAGGTTGCCATTGATTTCACAGCATCCAATGGAGACCCCAGGAACAGCTGCTCATTGCACTACATCAACCCTTACCAGCCCAACGAGTACCTGAAGGCTCTGATAGCAGTGGGGGAGATCTGTCAAGACTATGATAGGTTTGTCAATCTTTTGTTTCTTAGTAAATGCTCTTCAGTGCCTACAGGGATTGTCAGTATCTCCTGTTGTGAAACAGAGCCGCAGAGTGTCCCTTGCATGCCAATTTGGTGAGATCTCTCATTCTGAAAGGAGCCACTCCATCTCAACCACACATAAGGACGATAATGGAAATTGTGGAGCACTGAATAAGAATGGCATTGAATCCTGCAGGTTATTATATTTTTGCTCGCCAGTTTGTCAGAAAACAGATGGAACTTAACTGTTGACCACCAGCTCCTCCAATTCATCTCTTCAATGAAAGGGACTTTGCATTTTGAATTCTCTCTATTAGTTGATTTACAAGCCGCACATTGTCAAACAAGCAGCTAATTACTTGCAGCACAAGTACAATCTTTTTTACTGTCCTCATCATGTTCACATTGGTAGGTCAAATTTAATCTGGGTAAGTAATGCATGATAAACTGTTTGTATCTGGGAAAATTAGAGCAAGCAAAATTGGCCTCTACTGGCATTACTTATAGATGAGGCTAATCTGGGGCTGAAGATGGTGCTTGGTGAAGGCAGTCAAGGACACTGACACAATATTCTGGACAGACTCATTTATGGCTTCTTAATGATTAACCATTTTTTCAGTCTATCAGAAAGATTATATTTTTTACCTCGTGCCAGCCTCAGGCGTTTAAGGCTGGTGCAGACATCAGTTTTGTTACTGACTATGTTTGGCGCGGATTTCTAAGCAAATTTTTCTTAAGATTTTTTTTATTTGTTTGTAACCCATTCTAGCAACAATACTATTAAAATCACATCGATCTCATATTGATTTTTATTTTAGCAAATAAGACAATAAAACAAACCAAAGTGAACATTGAACAAGTTAATAAATGCATCTTATATTATAGCATATGAACAAATACTTAGTTAATGTATAAATTGTACTATATATAATGCAGTGCTTTTCCTTTGACCATCATCACAATTACTTGTTTTAATGACAGATTACTTGTTGTCTGTCATCAACATTGCAGTTGTTTTCCATATGGCCCCACTCAGGAAATCCTTGTCGTTTTGATCAAATCACGAATATCCTAGTTTTATGTAACCTCAATTTCTTGTCGCATCATCAATAAGTAAAGTAATTTTCAATCTTGCGTGACTTACTTGCACAGGATTCCGCCCCACACCCACTCTCCATTCAGACACAATTTGCAAATCGGCCCAGTTCTTACATTTAGGGGTCTGTTTTTGAGAATATCTCAAAACTTTTGAACAGATTTTGAAGAAAAAGAAAATTACCCTTTCTAAGTAAACTGATTTAGATTTGGTTACAATTGTAAGAATTGGTGCCATGGGTGAAGGATTAAGTAATTTGTTTCTGGTGGGAATGTAGTCCTTTTTGATAATACTTCTTGATGTCACAAGATACCTTTTTTTTTCCTTTTTTTTTTTTTTTACATTTTAGGATATTGATATAACGATAAATCTTTATCTTACATGCTGGTCTGGCATAGGATTTTCCTTTGCCAGACCAGTAATATTATTGTTACAAGGTGCTTGAAGCTGGACATCATGGGGGCCTAAGGGTTAACATATATTCACACAGTAGTGGCTGCATGTGCTTTCTCCTGTAGAAACTCACTACGACAGTTTCCTCTCAGCATCTGTTGCAGCTACTGGTCCTCCTTCTTAGCTCGCATAGGCTCATTACCCACAGCTACAGTCAAGCACATGCAGAGACAGGGGCTACGACAGCAGGATAGCAGGCACTTCAAAAAGAAGTGGGAGGCATTATAGCTGGAGAAAAAACACAGGAGGTGCAGCGTGAAGCCTGTTTGAGGAGTCATTAAAGACAATGAAGTGATTTGAATGAAATTATATTTTCATGTGAGAATTCCCGTTACTGTAAATGTACATACTAGCTGATACAGTCACACACACTTTTGTTTTTAAAATGACTGATTGTTTAATTGTGAACAAATATTAAACAATGTACAAATGTGCAAAAAACTTGCAGTTATTGCAAGCAGTCTTGCAGGTGCTTACTAATTAATGGGAAATTATTTATAATATGATCTGTTTCAGAGAAAGACCCTCTCATCTGTCGAAACTAAGCCAGATGAGGATTAACACTCCTGATTTATGCAGATCCTCCTATTGAATATGAGGGGAGCACTGTCTGGCTAATTATAGCATCGTAGAGATTGCACTGGAGACACTCAGAACATGCCTGGAAGTTAGCAGTTCATCCTAGTAGCTTTATTATTTTCATGTTTACATAGATACACAAGCGCATCATACATGGAAACATGCCTCTGGGGGAACAGTGACTGCAAGTTGTAGGCAGCCCTTTCCCTTTTAGGTTGGAATTGTAATTGAGGTGTAAAACGTGGGCAGGCAAACCTTTTAGCCCTTAGTGAACATAGGTGATGTGGGATTGTAGAGTCCTTGCAGAGGAGTGCATTATGGAGCTTGAGTGACGAGCTTTCGTCTGTGTGGGCAGAGAATGGTTTACCTTGCTGAGAGTTATTATACTGGGCACATCTCCCCGAGGCTTCTCACGTATGCTGTCATACGGTGAAAACAAGTTGTCACTAAGCTTCTCTGTCTGGGATGAAGGTGCTATGTCATATCTCTACAACTATGGAGTTTGATGATCGCTTAATACATTTATAAATTGCACATAGAAACCAATTCATTAAGCCCCCAGGGCAATTTATAAAGGTATGGAAAGAGTCAAGAGGTTGAGATAATGAGTGCTGTTAACAATAGCAAGAATAAAACTCAGAATAAAACTGACTCAAAATGAATACCCCATTCCCCATTAAAACATTTTCATTAAAAGTCTTTTCCAACATTGGTAAAGCCGGTGAAACCAATGTAATACCAAAACCATAATGACATTTTTCCTATTATTTTGCATCCATACAAAATGCCTCCGTGTCTTTGAAGGTCACAGTAGTGGGAGCGAAGCTTGTATTTAGTGGCTGGGAGCTACTCTGGTGAGAATGAATGAAAAAAAGTGAGTTGAAAATGTGTAAATGTTGAAGGTGAGGTCAGAGCGAAGGCATCTTTTTATCATCTGCTGTGCAGAAATCTATTCATTTGTTTGTAATATTGTTCCTGGAGTGTGTTTATATCTGTATACAGTATAGTACATTAACCAGGGCATGTGGAGAGGTTGCACTACAAAGAACAGAAGCTGGACTCATTCATTTTTATCTTATTTTTTCCTTTTTTCCTTTTTTGAACAGAGTATAACGATAGTAACCAAATGGTCTATGTACCGTATTCACTGATGTCTTTCTAACCGAGCTCCAATTCTCCTAAGCCTGCAGGCTGTTGTCGTTACCACTGGAAGCCATTGTAAATATAAGATTGCAAGGTTAAGGGAAAAGACACACATTATCCTTGAGGCGCAAAAATAATAATAAAAGATGAGCCTCTATTGTCAGTGTTACTGTAATACTAGTGCTGCTACAATAACAACAATCCCTACTACCACTACCACAAAATGTTACAGTAGAACAACTACAACTTTCCAAATTGAAGTCGCTTCTGTCAAGAGTTCACAGTTAAGAGTTTATTGCTCACTCTCTGAGAGTGTAAAAATCACCACTCTGCCAGTGTTTATAGGTCCACACTCATCAGAGTTAAGTAAACACTTGTGATAGCTCTGGGAAGCTGCCTCAAAGCCATATTAGCTCTACGAGTGGACAAACAACTCTCCAATCAACATACCAAATAGGTAAACACCTATTAACACTGTAAATTTTGTTGTGTAGCCTTTGATGTGGACACACTGTGTCCAGAGTAAATGAATTAAACACATCCTTTCAAATGTTTGTGCCCCAAACTAAGATTCTGTTGAGCTGGAGATATTTTTTGTGATTACACTGGGCTGCAGAATCCGAGGCTGTAGTAAATGTTCTGATAAGGGAGGCAGCCACTGGAGAAATCTATCTGTAGACAAACAATCACTGATGTCACTGAAAACAAGCTGTGACAGCTCTTTTGCCTATCCTAAATGCTGCAAGTTCTAGTAAATTTCAACATAAAGTGTTATCTGTTTAATGTGTATTTAGTCTACATCATGTCCTTAAATTACATGGTATTCAAGAGATACTCCAGTATTTATGACACTTCCATAAAGATAGGGGACTTGTATAGACTGTATAGATGACATAGCCTCCGTGATGCCACCCACATGTTTCTGAAGGGCAGTTATGAAGTTTAGAGGGGGCTGCTCCGCCGTCGCTACTTTAGCAGTGCTAATCCAAAAATGGGCAAAGAGGTGGGGTGTGTGTGTGGAGCTGAGACTTGGTTGCATGCCGGTTTAATAACTGTAGCATCCTGTTAGCATAGTTAGCTTGGCGTTTTGCTCAAAGGTTAACCCAAGGCTAATTCATTTGCTGGCTAATTAGCTAGTTAACAGGCTAAGCTAACAAGCCAGGTATGGTGAGCGATACTTGCCAATTAGTGCTAACATGCAAATAAAAATAGTACTAGAATTTTGCTCACCAAGCCAGATTATTTGTCCAATGTTTACATGAAATATCCTCTAAAAGGCACTAAAACCACAAACATAGCTGAGAGGTCACATTTAGTGACTCGAATTAGCTGAGGTAACACTAAGCAGACAGCTAGTGGACTGTGACAGCACCCACCTGTCACTCAAAGCAGCCACGCCCTCAATTATGCATAACTTTAATAAAATTTAAATGGGTGAATTGTATAAAAATTCATCCCCGTACAGTTGTGATGAAGGGGGAAATTAGCAATAGAGACCAAAACAGGTTTTTGTACCAGGCTGTAAGCATGTTTATTTCGGCTGTAAAGTTTGACGTTTTAACATGGGAGTCTGTGGGGATTGACTTGCTTTTGGAGCAAGCCTCAAGTGGCCATTGGAGGAAATGTAGTTTTTGGTACTTCCATGTTCCATGTTCCCTGTTTTTCAGAACCGGAGGTTGCCGCTTACAAAAGACAGGTTAAAAAAAATGGTGAAAACAGTATATTACATTTACCATAAGGTAACTTAATAGCATCTTTTGTTAGACCTTCCCTGCCTGGTAAAAACCCATGTTTTTCACAAAAGAAAAGATAATATATATGTCATTAGTCTTTGGGCCTTGATGTGTATATACACATACAGTAGGACCTTTATATACCTCATTTTTGTATACAACATCACATTTGTTAATGTTTTCACCTGGGAAGGTGCGAAGTACAGGGTCTCTCTACATACGTCTGACCATGGTTCAAAAACAGTCTGCATGAGCTATTGTACTCAGATGGGCATAGATTAGCATGTTCTGTCCATTTTACATTGTGTTGGTGTTGATCCACCCTTCATCACTTGATTAGATTGACAAGAACTCACCACTCTGTAGGCCTAGCTGTGTGGAACCAATCCCTCATTCACTTCCTATGTAATAGGCATTCAATAATTTGCTCTATAGTTACATTGAAGTGAGATTTCTTACACTTTTATGAATCATTGTCATTTTGTGTCAACACTGGCAAGTGTAGAGTCAAACCTTGACATGTTTGAGTCACCCAGTGGTGCATTGCATTACGGTGTATTTAGCAGAAAGTAGTATAGCCCATGTGCCATGGGTGCTACTTTTCTTGTTTTATTGTGGGAATCTTCTAAGGCTATATAGTGGATGAATTTCATGCTCAGCATTCAGACAGTCTTTTGTTTATTCACAACTATGCACCCCTGACCTTTGACAAGACGCACACTATCCAGCATAGCAGAGCTTCCTACTGTAATATCTGCTCATCTAAGTGGTATGATGAAAAATGTAGACAATAAAGACAGTGAGAACCTCTTTGAACGGGTGCAAATGCTGGCTGCAGGGACTGTGCGACAGATTTCAAATTGTAATTCAAGCTTTGAACATTTATGAAATGCAAACAAGCAGGGGGTTTGCCCCTGGAAACATGAGCAGATGGATAAGCCATCAATATTTTTCAGATCGCTGTCAAAAGCTATCCCAGATTAAACTGCAGTAACTGTAATATGTGACTGATTAATTTGCTTATCGTTTCAGTGACAAAAGATTTTCAGCTTTGGGGTTTGGTGCCAGAATCCCTCCAAATTATGAGGTGAGTACTCTGCTCTCCATGGTTTTTATTCACCCTAAACCCCCCTTTTTTCCTATTCCACTCTATTACACTCACTCCCCGTAACATGAACAGTATTATGCATACTATATATTCATGTGCTCTTATTGAACCCTGGTATTTTCCACTACCCTGGGACTTTACGTCAAGCAAGCTGATTTCCATGACCTATTTCATGACACAATTTGTCACCCTGTCAGATTTTCACATTTAAAACTAATTAGTGAGTTTATTTTTATTCATAAGCCCCTTGTCTTAAAATATCAACTTGTCTTGAGAAAATAACATATTACAATGAAATAAAAGCCCTGTAGTGTTGATGCTCAATTTACATAAGAATTCATGAGTGTGATTTGTTTAAGCAAATTGGACATTGAGAACCAAAAGCCTTCAGTGATTTTAAATAGAGCCCTGGGGAGATGTCTGTCATGTGACACACACACACACGCATGCACGCACGCACGCACGCACACACGCACGCACGCACGCACGCACGCACGCACGCACACACGCACACACACACACACACACACACACACACAGAGGGAGATAGAGAAATAAATACATGCACAGTTGGAGAACTTCTGTTTGACCATCTCTCAAATTAGAACAACCTATGTTTAATGTAAGATTGTAATGTGCTGTGTGTTGGTGTGAAACACTAATTATTATCATTTCAATCATGCAAAGATTGTGGCTCGGTTAATACAAACTATTAATTTTTGAATTTACCGTGACAGTGACTGCCTCGCAGGAGTCAAATTTACTTTTACTGCATGCTGTTGCCACATTGTGGTTGATAGTGCAGGTGAATACTGATTAAGTCATCAGACTAATCATGAACTGCAACCATGAACTCACAGGCTACACCTTTGATGGACCTGGGTTCTGTCTCAGTAGTGATGTCATGCACTCTTGTATCCTTAATTATGCATTATGCATACAAAATGTGATTGGAAAACAAGTATAAATAAAAAATTAAAAAGATGTTAATTTGCCAGTCAAGAATAAAAAGGATATGAATGACTGAATTTGTACCAGTGACAGTTTAGAAAAATTCTTAGTTATTATTTATTTAGAGTTTAAGTTTGTTTTAAGAGTTTGTTGCTGGCGTGACAGCTGTCAATAAAACTCTGGTGCACATTTAATAACCCTGATCAATCAGACAGTCAAAGGCAGTTAAAACTGCAGTGTGTTGTGCTTCTATCCCACTCTGTGTACTTTGGCAGTTCATTAAAAAGTGTGTGTCAGCCAATTACCAAATCCCGCTGTAATGAGCTCTTTGTAACACCATTGAACATAAATAAACACAAAGAAACAAAGAAGAATTAAACTGCGCCATGACTTGCTGTCAAGAATTTGATTTCTCACGTGGGTCCTATTGATAAAGGGTGACAATCACCAAAATACTCCAGCTAATGTGTTACCTGTCAGTCTGCATTACTCCTCTTGGTTTGTTTGTTAATTTATTTGAATATTGGTGTGAACACTTAAAAACTCAGTTAATCTGCTTCATCAAGGTTGTATGTGTGGTTTGATCATATTTAATTGACAGTGGCTCCACAACTGTGATCAGCTCCAACACAGCTAACATTACCTTTTACTCAAAGAGCCCTGCCCTTCCTAACTATTTTAGAAAACACAAAAATACAGAAATCTGTTGAAATAACCAGAAGTGACTTTTTTGAAGATTTTGTTTTCATGTAGGACCTTTTTGCTCACAGTAAGATGACTGACTCAGACAATAGGTTTTCAGGGCCTTTAATACTTACATTTGAGGAGTTTTGTTTTTTTATGTACAAAGCTGAAAAATAAGACTGTAACACTAAATAACTTGCTGTCATACAGTTGAAGTAAAAGCACATGTAACTAATTACATTACTGATGCTTAACGATTCTCCATTCCAATGAATTGTTGCTGCAAATCATGCCAGTGGACCAATCTGTGCAATAACAGAGCCTTACAGCTGCAACACCTAAATGGAAGGCAGCCATTATTAATGTTATTAGTTACACCTGTGTGTTTCCTGCTATTTCATGTGAAATGCTCTGCTGGGAAACAGGCCTGTTAAATGAAAAACAAAACAACGATCTCCTCTCTTGCAGTACAAAAACTAAATGGTGGTCTGTGGGATTTAATTTTCTAGGACTCCTCATATCTATATCTATACACTGACTGAATTCAGTCTGTAACTCACATTAAATAAAAAATGACTTTAAAAAAATAGCCAGCTGGAGAGGAGTCAGCTGTCACTGATCTGGATGACATTTGGTACTTGTGGAAAAAACTCTTATGAGAGGAGGCATCAAGAGGGGGATTTCAGTTTTGCCAGTTTTGAGATAAAAAAAAGTCAATCTGACATTTGGATGGCAAGAACAGACTAGATAAAAGAAGATGGGTTGAAATCTCTTTTCAGAAACCAGATATTAAGCATATAATGCATGCTATATGCTTATTTCTGTATAGTGTGATGAAGCCATGATTCAGGATGTTAATATAAGCCGATCATTTGGAATGTAGTTTACACAAACCAGTACATCGCAGAGCCAAGTCTCACTCTAAAACACCCTGAAAATAAAAGCGTGTTACTTTTATCCTGTGTTTGAAATTAAACTCTCAGTTCCTGATTAAATATTTTTCCTACCATCACATTATCAGCACATACTTCCCTACCTTTATTAATTTACATGCAAACTTAACCATGTAGTTTTTAAATTTGTTGAGCTAACTGAAAATACACCCAAAGCAAAAATTAAGTTAGTGCTCCAGACATACATTCATTTTATTGGTTTTGTAATGTGGATATTGTTATATTTCTATAATAACATTATTAATGATATTATGACATTGTGCTGAACTCTTGGTTGTTTCAGTTAGCCATTATAATAAAGGTGGCTTTCTCTTAACAGAATTGCAGTTAGAAATACCAGAAGGAAAAAAAAGTTAATGCTTTCACAGATTCCAAAATGGGAGGCGTTTCTGACACAGCATAAAACAGAGCACTGCCCTTCTCAGCAGTGTTTCACAATTTTGAATTTCTCCATCTACAGGTGTCTCATGACTTCGCCATTAATTTTAACCCAGAGGATGATGAATGTGAAGGTGAGGAAAGGCTTTGTACACCAGTTTCCCTGAGAAGTTAATTTCTATGCTGATGATACTAGAATTGATATCTGTAATCTGACAACACAGCTGCTAAAACATCATTATTGCTCAGCAGATTCTACATCACAAATTTCAGGTAAATGAATACATGACACATCAGATTTATAACATCTGACAGTAAAGAAGAAAACAAATTCCTCTCTACAAATTTTTGTGAGCATTCTTGTGTCCATTTTTCTGTAGTTTTATACTCACTCAAGATTCAGTCACATTAATGTTTTTGGATTTCATAATCGATTATATTTGAAAATGCACGTAAATAAGCCAAAAGTCAAACTTTCAGGGGATCTTTTAACTTGTTTGAGGCAGACAACATATCCAGACTACTTATAATTCTTTGTCAGACTGATGTGAATGGTTCATCTTAGTGGCCTATTTATGGCTTATTCAAGTGTAGATAAATCTATTCATGTCTCCTTCATTTTGCTCTGTGCTATCCTTTATCAGGGATCCAAGGGGTGGTTGAGGCCTACCAGAACTGCCTTCCTAAGATCCAGTTGTATGGACCAACCAATGTTTCTCCCATCATCAACAGGATAGCCAAACTGGCAGCAGGCGATGGCAACATTAAAGATGCTTCTGTGAGCGTCCCTTTACACTCTATTGGAAATGTATGAATGTAATACATGCTTTGTTGTTGGGCCCCCCACTGAGTCCCCCCAAGTTATAATAATGATTCCCCAGGCACAGAAGAAGAAGGGGCACATTATAGAACGAATTAGTTTTCATTAAATTATAGATTAAAGTCATACAGTGCAATATTGGTGATGCATTTTTTTGGACAGCAGCTAATAGAGTTACTGTGTTTTCAATCTTTCTTTTATATCTCTTTTGGAGTAAAAACACCTGTCTTCTTTATCTTAACTTACCCACCAGGTACACGGACATTTTGTTCCTAATACTGCAATTGCACCGACCCTCATGTAATTATTTACTCCTCAATGTCGGTCCTTCTTTGATCAGTAAATGAGCTGCAGAAAACAATTAGAACAATTTCAGGGCACACATTAGAAATACACATTCAGCAACACATAAACACAGTCAGAGAGCCAACAAACTAACCAGCACTCATTGGATTCATCAAAATGATAACATTATATTGTGCCATGTTAATATTCTTCAACTGTGCTGCTCATATTATAATTAATTACACACATACACACATGCACACACATGATGTCTCTGCTGTGGCTTGTGATGTAGTAGTACTCTGTCTTTTGTTTTTAATATTCTCCCACTTTATCTGTTCTCGATTCCCTTGTTTTCTGTGTAACACTCTAACACTTTAAAGTGCCATACACACGTAATCTTTTCCACTCAGTGGAGGCTGTAAAATTATCCAAGACAGCATGAAAGGCCTACTTCAGACCACGGCGCACACTGAGAGGTGTCCTTGCCTATAACCACACGTTGGTGTTAAAATGGGTTAACGTTGCCATGGATTAATTTGCACTGAAAGCTCTTATCTTCTTCCAGCGATACCACATCCTGCTCATCCTCACGGATGGGGTAGTGACAGACATGGCAGACACGCGTGAAGCCATTGTACGAGCCTCCTACCAGCCTCTCTCCATAATCATTGTTGGTGTGGGTAACGCAGACTTCACAGACATGCAGATTTTGGATGGAGATGATGGAGTCCTACGCTCACCAAAGGGCGAGCCGGTCCTCCGGGACATTGTGCAATTTGTGCCCTTCAGAGACTTCAAAACGGTCAGTTTTTTCCTCCATCTGTCAATCTTCACTTGTTGACGTTTAGCTTTTTCTCCAGTCTCACTCCTCTGACTGCTGTGCTAGTGATGCGGATGAACATTAATTATTTTTTTATATAATGTCCCCCACCCTTGATATTTAAAAGAGCATACAGGCAGCTTTTGATGGCGTTGCCAGTGCTACAGATGGGCATCATGGACTGGAGGAGATCCAGAAATTTCCTCACACAAGAATGTATTTTTAATGTAGCTACATGCAGTCAGGGACATTTCAGCTCTACATCTATACATCTATCTATGTCTGTTATGGACTAGATATCTCATGCTCTAAACAACTGAAATTTTGGGTTTCAGTAAACATTTTCTATATACACATTTGGGTGGCAAATTAAAGGAAAAAGCTGAATAAATGAGTGGAGACACCTAATGATGCTTCCATTCCAGGACCAAGGTGATGAGATGATGAGAGCTGAGGAGATGAGTATGAAGAGTGTGTGAATTATATGCTGTGAACTTCACATTCACCCTTGAACCTCCACTTGAACCACTTGAACATCTATGGGAGATTTTGGACCGACATTGAATAAATCATCCAGAGTTTCCAGAAAATGATTTGTCCAGACTCAACACATAAATTGTTATAACTCTAGACACGTTTATTGCACTGCGCTGCACATGTATTAAATGACACACTTATGTAATGAGTTTTATGCCACTGAAAATGATTTTCCAAATATGCTTTAACGACAGTAGTTTTTTATACTGCAAGACATATTATTAACTTTTATGTAGCTCTTAGGATCAAGGTAAAAGAGTCAGAGGCAGAAACAGAACATTTTCTTTCTAATACAATGTCTGACACTGACATACCACTTTTAATTTCTCTGAAAGTCCTAACACCTTCCATAGTCCTCTATACTGGAAAATCATCTGTATCTCAGATTAAAACAATATTTAACAGTTGTTTTGACAACTCCTGTTCTCTGTCTCTGTTATAGGCTTCTCCTGCAGCCCTGGCCAAATGTGTTCTGGCAGAGGTGCCCAAACAAGTAGTGGAGTACTACAGCCATAAGGCCATCTCCCCCATGTGTCCGATGAGGGACTTATCCACGCCAATCCTCAGCCCAGTTGCCACCACCCCAACAGAATAACAACCCACCCTGTTCCTGGGACCAAGCTTTGACCACAGCACCAGTCGGGTAAACTGAGGGGGAGAGAGGACGCATGCCTCGCTACTTTGGACAAGAACTGAAGAGAAAAATCTTTCTAGATGTGTTGTTTATTCATTTATTTCATCTTTCACCACTAGCGAAGTGTTTACACAAGGACAGTACGGCTGAGACTGTGGGTTATATTTCTCTTCTCAGTGTGGATCTAGCACTTCTCCCTGGCTGCACAAATTGACCATCCAGCTGTTTCAGCATCATGAGCCCTGAAGGATTATGTTTTTTTTTTTTTCCCCTAATCTTTATGCATGCGGGCCAATCCCTCAGTCCTGATCCATCGACTGGATGCAGGCTCATTATTCCTCTCTGCCCATGAAATTCAGCACCTCAACTATGTGTTACTGTTTTCCTTATCTAAAGATCATTTTAAAGATGTTCTGTACAGTGTGTCGCAATCAAAATTAGATTGCTCAATTTGAACATGCTGACAATACTTCATTCAGATGTTATAAATGAGTCACAGGAAGTATAAAGAAGACATGCCGCCTTTTCTAAGTTCCGACCCATAATAACATTCACCTTCCCTCTTATACCCTGTAAGTCTGTCTGGCTGCAGAGTTGGAATTCTTGATTACAGACATTATTTCCAGAGATGCACAGATTATAATTTCAAAATCAACCTGCCATGATTTGACACTGGAATAAAACTCCTAATATCTGTTTCTAAAACTTAAAGCTCTGTTCCAATGTGCACCAGCCATTCTCAACAAACCAAAAACTGCCCTGTAAGACCAATGAATGATGCTACCCCTCCAAAAGCAAGTAATGCTGAGTGTGTTTGGCAGTTAGAAGGTAGAGGTTGCCAAATTAGTGTACTCTGCTTAAAATAATTAGCTAAATAACAATAATTAATTCCCCAGTAATCAGCCCTTCTTAAAAAAAACAGGTGAGCAATGGAAGCAGCAATGGAAATATCTTTGTTTAGGTCTGATGTGTCCCCACTTCTGACCTGTTTACCTTGTACATCTGTGAAACTGTAAGAGACATAATAACTTTAACAATTTGTGATATTTGCTATAGCTTGAGTTCTTTGTATGCTTTTTTTTCTGTTACAGCTAGTAAGTCACAGCCATACAGAATACACAGTCAAGTCATCAGCTTGCTTGTTGAAGGGGAAGATGTGTTTGGGTCGCTGTACAATAACAGAAGGTTGCAAACAGCTGCTTTTTCTGATGTTAGCTGCAAACAAAGCCTGGGTAACATTTCTCTCCAAGAGAAGAAGAATGATCGCACCCTATTTTTGGTCTTTTGTCAAGTGGCTATGGTATAAGCTGTGAAAATCATGCTTTATTGCCAGGTGAATCCTTTTTCTCTGAATTGTCTGTTATTGTTGTCACCACTAAGCCAGTCATCATGCAGGTAGTATTCTTCACATTTTTGCAGTATATTTCATTTTTTCTGCTGCTTTTTACATGCAATATAATTCTACTCAGTGTTTCATAAGGAATTTGACTGGAGAACATACAGATTAGATCAAATGAAAGCACAAAGCCGGCCACAGTGAGGGCTGCAACACACAGTAATGCTCATAAAAACAGCTCTGGAATGTGTTATATCAGTTAAATTTACACCAGAATATAAAAAATCTAAAAAAAACTGTATCATTGATATCAAATTATCAAAAGATTTCTTACCATATAATTGGCATTAAATGTTTGCTCATCGTTGTACGCGTGCATCTCCAGGACAAACTATTCTGTGAATCTATTCTTTTTATATTTTATTTTCTATTTCCAAGTAACTCTTGCCTGAAGAATCACTATCTACGCGAACAGATGCATTTGATTTTTCTGCTGTTCATCTTCACAGTGGTCACGTATTCAGAAGGCTATAGATTCACATCCACTTACCCTGCCAGACTGTCTTCACAGTGCGGCCTGTAACAGGATGTGGGCTCAGTGTTTTCCAGAGGAACCTGTTAATGCTACACAAAGAGAACCAGAAGCTCTCACTAAGCAGTGAAAACTATTTGCTGTTTTGAGATGCTGTTTTGTTTTTATTGTAAATACCTGTATGAATACTAGCGTCCAACTAACCGAGAGAGGAGAGATGATTCAAGTCAAATGTAATTACATTTTCAGGGAGTGCACAAAAAAGTCAAACGAACAAGAAAGTAAAAGAGTTGGAGAGACTGAATGTTTTCACAGTTTTAAAGGCATGCTCCTGCCATTTAAAGGTTTTTATCACTTATGCAAAGAACCTTAACTGCCCCCCCCCCCCGCTTTATCAAGCTGACTAAACAGCTTATTATCAAGCATCTTTAAGAGCATGAATTTCAAAATATTTCTGTGGTTTCGATTAAGTATGAACGCCACAAAGTCTCTCAAAGCTAAACAAATTTATTGTAATTCATTTTCTTGTCTTTTTTGATTGCATATACAAACACATATTTCACTGTGTTAAAGAAGTACACTTTTTAGACCCAAAGAATGCATAATATCCTCCTTAAAGTGACACATTTTATGAATAAAGCTCAAAACTTGTTGCTCATACCAGAGGTCTGACTGAACAGCATCAACAACAGTAATGCTCCACTGCTTTCACCTTGCAGCGTAAACACTGAATAGATGATTTACTGTCTGTTCTAGTAATGACTCTATATTTTGTATATTTATTTTGTGTTCTTGCATTTATCTTAAATGGTGTAATTGTGCATCTGAATGTTGACTCATTCTCTTGGTGAGAATCCAAGCTAACACTGCCATTAAATGCATAGGAAGAATATCTGGTCTTTACAGCCACTCTCACATACACACACACACACATTCACCCCCAAGCTACAAATATTAATCTGACTTTGATTTGTCCTCTAGAGCTTCAGCAGCCTTCCCCTGATACAGATATTGACTACTCATGAATGCACCCTAAACTCAGCTAGCTCTGCTGTTGGCTGCTCTCTGAACTCCTTTGAAGATCACAACTACTGAGGGTTCTTTTGTCACTGTGGATCACAGGATGAGGCCTATTGATTCAGCAGGCCTAGATTTGGAGCCATACTCAGTTACTTGTAAGTTATGGTGGTACTTTGGTCTCAAGACTGAAGCTCGGCTCCACGTGGCTGGTTTACAACAGGGAGAAAATCGATGCAAAAAATAGGAAATACTCTGCTGGAATAAATAGCATTTGACATTATAGGTTTCCTGGTTCTCAAAAGATTCACAGCACATAAAATGTGACCAAAAAGTTCCCATTCTTAGATAATAATTACTATCACAAAAAAATTAAATATTGTGAAAGCTTTGATCTATGAAAGCAGTGCTGTGGTTTCCCATAAACCTTCAGTGGCTACTTAATCTGACTAAATAAGAAAGGAGTTGCAGATATCAGTCTATACAGTATCTGTTCCTTGAGGGCAAACCAGCTCACATATTGATATCTAAAAGGCACTGGCACTTCTTCCGTGATTCGTGCCTTGGCAATTCACTCCTTGTCCCCTATTACCTGTATCGCTTTATTGCTACTTTGCCTCAGGTTATGAGCTGCACCAGCTCAAATGGTTCATTACCCCGTACTCTTAACATTTTTATGAAATGTGATTTTACAATTGAGAGATGACTGACCTCGAAACATACGCAATTTTATTGCTTTATCTAATACTTTTTTTGTTTTTTAAAAAAAATAGTTTTATTATCAAATAAGTAATACAAGACTTATAAAATATGTGTTTTCTCAGTTCAAATACCAATATAATGAGCCATTCAAATGTTTCATGCCCTCTTGAGGTTATCTGAATTACAAAATATATTATAATATATAATATATGTCCTATGGTAATACATATTAAAGAGTCATGCATTGGTCTTAAATGCCTTGCCAGATTTGCTCTAAACAAACTCCTCTTGGTACCATCTTTGAAAATTATTTTTTAATTATTATCTTTTTCATTTAGTGTTAAGTTTCATTGCAACCATGTAAAAAATGCTAAAGTATTCAAATAATATCATTGTGTTTTTGTGTGCAAGAGCTAGCTGAGCCATGTGATGTCGTCACTTTAAACAGCTTCATGAGAAAATACAGTCATGTCTTAATGGGAGCCCATCATTTGTGCCACAGTGGGGCAGACAACAGTGAGCTGGAACACTGGAGACAATAAGACCACAGTTCATGTGGCCATCTTGCACTGTGGATTAAAACAAAGCTAGGAAGAATCCATTGAGCTGCTTATTTCCCCTTATCTATACTTGCACCATTGTCAGCCAAAATTAACAAGTTATAGGTTTTACACCAAACTAATGTATTTGAAATTTCCCATACACACACACACACACACACACACACACACACACACACACACACACACGCATGTGCACACACACACATACACACATACACATACATGGCCTCTCTCTCTCTTTCACCCATCCACTGGTAATCAGAACAAGGTTTGCAGCTCAAAAACCTAATATGCAACTGGTGTAACTGCGGGCCCTGTGGGTGAGAAGCAGCCCATGCATCATTAGTAAATATTTGATTTCTTAAAAAAGGATTAAAAGGGATTTATTGCATGCTTACTTTAATTGTTATGATGTGCTGTGCAGTCATTCCTTTGGATTGTATGATATGCTAATATGCAAGCCTGCATTTGCACAACCCTCTGTTCTTGTAGTTTACGCTCTCTGTCTTGCAGTTAGGTAAATAAATCTCATCATTTAACTGAAACTGTCTTGGTGATTTGTTATTATATTGAATTAAGTTTTAATGATTTTGACAAAAAAAAAAAAAAAAAAAAATATATATATATATATATACATATACAAAGTATATATTCCAAAATTGAATTCATCTGTATGTTTTTTTGTCACCTTTTTTTCTGTTCACTTATTTCTGTGACCAGTTCACTAAATATTTTCTCACTGTACACTGTAGGGAAGAATGAAAAGAAATGAGAGAATGACATTGAAATGCTTGATACAATGTAGGTTATGCGATCATGTACATGTTTGCCCTGTGTGGTTTGGCTG